ACTCTTTGGTGACCCCATGGACTGTGGCCCACCAGGCTCCTCTGCCCACGGGATTCTCCAGGCAAGAATACTGGAGTGTCTTGTCATTTCCTTCTTCAGGGGATCTTACAGACCCAGGGATCAAACCCACATCTCCTGCACTGGCACGTGGACTCTTTACCATCTGAGCCACCAGGGAAGCTTAGTACTAAGAACTATGCTGGGGATAGCAATGAGCAAAGTGGACAAAAATGCATGTCTTTAAGATACTTTCAGTCTAAAAGAGGAGGAGTGAGAACATAATAAGATAAAGATAAAGCAAAATATACAGCATGTCAAAGGAGAGATAATGCTTTGGAGAAAAAGCAGAGGAGGAGGATTAAGAGTGATGAGAACTGGATACACTACTCAAGATGGCAGTCAGTGAAGCCTTCACTGAAAAAATAATATCCAGGTGAGGAGCTGAAGGTTAGGGAGTAAAGCCCATCAAAACCTGGGAAAAGCAAGCAGAAAAAAACAGTACCTGCAGAGACCTCAGGCAGAAATAGGCTGAGGAAGTTGTGGCTGCAGCAAGGTCAGTAGGAAGTGGAACAGAGTAGAAGGATGCTGTCAAGAGAAAATGGGGGTTTGGGTTGGGTTGGTGCCACAGGGAGGTGGCAGTGGTTAAGAGGTCCAGTGGTTAAGACTCTGTGCCTCCAATACAGGGGACAAAGGTTCAGTCCTTGGTCAGGAAATTAAGATTCCACATGCTGCTTGGCACAGCCTATACACATATATATACATAGATGTATACATACACGCTCATGTGTGTGTGTGTATATATATATGTGTGTGTATACATACATATATATATAAGAGAGGAAGAAGAATGCCACAAACTGGTTTATATTTTATCATAATCTCTACCAAAGGGCTTCCCTGGTGGCTCAGTTGGTAAAGAATATACCTGCAATGCAGGAGACCCTGGTTCGATTCCTGGGTTGGGAAGTTCCCCTGGAGAAAAGATAGGCTACCCACTCCAGTATTCTTGGACTTCCCTTGTGGCTCAGATGGTAGAGTCCACCTGCAATGCAGGAGACCTGGGTTTGATCCCTGGGTCAGGAAGACCCTCTGAAGGAGGGCATGGCTACCCATTCCAGTATTCTTGCCTGGAGAACCCCATGGACAGAGGAGCTTGGTGGGCTGCAGTCCATCAGGCTGCAGAGTAAGACACGAATGAGCCACTAAGAATGGTAGACGCAGCACCGAAAGGGGAACAAGTAGGGTTTGATGATGGTTCTGTTTTGAAGCAGAATCACAGAATTTGCTGATGGAATGGGTTTGGGATACATATGGAAGAGAAAGAAGACTGATTCCAGGAATTTTGGCATAAGCAAGAATAGCATGACAAGTAATTAATATGAGGAAGAACTGTGAGTTGGTCAGGCTGGAGGGGAAGACCAGGAACTTAGTTTTGGAGCTGTTAACTTTCAAATACTTATTATGCAAGGAAGTACAGATGTCGATTAGGCAACTGAATATACAAAGTCTAAAGTTCCAGCCCAAGGTCTAGGAAGATCCTTATTTGAGAATTTACAGTCTTAAGTCTGATGACATCATTAAGGGAGTAAGTATAGAAAGAAAAAAGAAATTGTCCCTGGCTTGAGCCACTTATCTGTCAGAAGTCTAGGAGATGAGGAACATAAACTACTTGTCAGAAACAGGGTTAAGAAAGAAGTTAATTTGAAAACACAGTTTTTAGAAACTCAAATTACTGTATGACCCAGAAATTCTACTCTTAGCAATGTACCTATGATAAAGTGGAAACAATGTCCATATCAAAACTTGTATACAAATGTTCACAGCAGCATTATTCACAGCAATATAAAAAACCAGAAACAATCCCAAATATCTATCAACTGATAAATGGATAAACTGTTGTATGGATACAGAGTGAAATATTGTTTGGCTGTGAAAAGAATAAAGTACTAGAAAGTACTACAGGTGAACTTTGAAAACAACATTTATGTGAAATGTCCAGAACAGACAAACCAATAGAGACAGAAAGTAGAATTATGCTTGAGGTTAGGGAGGAATGAGTACAGGATTTCTTTTTGGAGCAATTGAAAATGTGATAAAATTGACCGTGTTGATGACTGGATGACCCTGAGTATAATGAAAAAACCATACATACACTTTAAATGGATGACTTGCATGATAGGTGAATTATATGTCAATAAAGCTGATGCAATAACCAAAACCACAAACAAACAACCACACCCCCCGGCAACTGGAGAATTCACAAAACAGAACTGGTTACTCTTGTATACTTTATTGATGATGCTCACCCCAAATCTAAAACTTCTCTTCCATGCATTATGATAGTAAACTTACAAAGTGAAAGTTAACTGTAGAAAATCTACAAAGATGAACAAAATATATAAGGAAGAAAATTAAAAATCATCCATAAATCCACATCCTTTCAAACTTCAGGTGATTCCTTTTTAATCATTTCCCCCCCTGCTTACTTACATTTATTCTGGTCAAAATAAAACTGAAACCATACTATATTACATTATATGGCTATACCACACATATCTATTCTTCTAATTTTAAGAAATTTAAAAAGTTTCTACATGTTTACTATTACAAACAGTCCTTTAGCTGAATCTCTGAATAACTCAATTTGAGAAGAACAAATTTCTAGAAATGCAATTACTTTGTTAAAATATGTGAATATTTTTTTAACTCTTAAAATACTGCCTTCCAGAAAGGCTATACCGATTTATCCTCTCATCAACAGTGCAAGGGGACACAATTTACCACAAATTGAACTAGTTCTTGTCAGTTTAAAATTTTTTACCAATGTGCATGAAAAAATATTATCTTATTTAATTTGGGACACATTTCTTAATAGTGATAAACTTATTTTCATATTCACATCTTTTGTAAACTGCCAGCTTACATCCTTCTTTGCTCTTCTGGGATATTAGTCATTTTCCTACAGTTTTACTTTGAGAATGCTTTTATGTATTCCTCCTTCTATCATAAATAACATTTTGTCATTTGTATTTTAAGTTTGATGATGGTGGCTTTGACTTACCAAAATTAAAAGATTGATGCAAATGACTCAATCTTTTCACTTATGAATAATTTTTATTCTAGAAAAGAAACTCTTTCCCCAAACTGGTGAGAAAATGGTCATCAAGCTTTCTTTCTAATAGTTTCTGTTCTTTATTTTTCTTTGCAACATTTACTAAGTATTTAACACATGAATGCAGAGTGCTAATAGTTTTAAATATACTAGCTCATTGAATCCTCATAATCACCCTACAAGAGATCTTTTATCTTTCTCATCGCTTTCCAATGAAGGGAAGATTAAATTATATGACTAAGGTAACCACAAATAAGATGCAGAACAGAAATTTAAAGCTAAAGCAATATAAAGCCATATTTGTTCCACTGTGCTCATATCCATAGTAAGACATTTTAATAGAGCTATGCTTGGCTACTCCAGTACTCTTGCCTGGAAAATCCCATGGACGGAGGAGCCTGGTAGGCTGCAATCCACGGGGTTGCTGAGTCGGACACGACTGAGCGACTTCACTTTCACTTTTCACTTCCATGCATTGGAGAAGGAACTGGCAACCCACTCCAGTGTTCTTGCCTGGAGAATCCCAGGGACAGGGTAGCCTGGTGGGCTGCCGTCTATGGGGTCGCACAGAGTCGGACACGACTGAAGTGACTTAGCGGCAGCAGCATGCTTGGCTGTAGGGTTCTCTCATTATATCCTCACCAGAGAAACAACAGCCAGTGACTAAAACATGTAACTCCTTAAGTTCTATAAATTGAAGTTCAATAGTTGCTGAAGTTAAATAAGTCCTGGTCCACACCCTTGAATCAACTTAAATACATTTTGTTCTATGTTTTTTTACAATAATATTGTGGGTGTCTCTATGTGAAAGTATGATAAACATGCCACTTGGCTTTCGAACACAGACCAAGTTGGTGTTTTTCTGTAGAACCAGACTAAAATAGATTTTATTAGCTCCACATGATAAAAGAAAAACATCTACTGAGTAACTTTCAAAGAATGCACTATAATGACAAACTCTGTAGTATTTGTAATTAATGCCCTCTCTCATTTAGTTTTTCTTTTGATCATGTAGATAAAACTGCTCACAAACTAGTGCTTAAATAAAACACACCAGATTCTTGATAATATTCCTCCTCTCAATGAGTATTAAAAATGTCTTATTTTACTTTATTTAAATTGCCCTGTTTTACTTATGTTATTATTGTAAGCACTCTCAAATTCTTTTTGAAAATAGGCAAAGAATAAATAGTATTCATTACAATTAATGTTGCTCAAAGCTATTCAAAGTTATTCAGCAAATTCCTCTGACTGAATTTAGCAAAGTACTATGGTATAATTTTAAGTGTGCTGTTCAACACAATGTAAAATTATGTAGACTGATATTACCAAAGTTCAAAAGAATGAATTAGATGCTGAACACATAATACTTTACTATAAATTGGGACTGGAACACAGCATTATATTTTAACCCCTTATTTATAAGCTTTTCTGACAAATATCACATTAAAATTTAAACAATGAATTAGGCTAATTATGTCAAGTGGTTGAGAGCTCAGAAAGTTGTGTCTAGAACACTAGCCTTCTCGTAAGACTTTATATCCAACTAAATCTTAATGATTCCTTATTCAATCTCAAAGTCTATCTCAAAAGAAGACATTAATACTTGATTGATTTTTAGGATTGATTTTATTCTGTTAATAGAGGAATTACAAGTTCACATAATCATACCCTTCATATTCTGCTCTGTACATGTTAATAAAAATAAAGCAGTGCCTTATGGATTTGGGTTGTATTTTATTGTGACTTTGATAATTCAACTAAAAATTTGATTTACAAAATTTACAAACGGTAATAGTTTTCCAGAGTCCTATTTAAACTTCCAGAGTTAGGCTATCAAGGATTCCTGGCTTTGGTTTGTTGTGAACCAAACAAAAATTGTTCTTACCTTTACACCCTGAATGAGACCATTCATGAGGAATGTGTGTTGAGGAAATGTTTCATGTAGAACCTACAAAAAGCAAACAAACATCAAGAAAAATTCTAAAGTAAATGAAAGGGAAGATTTCTGACTCTTGTTAATGGCAGCCTAGGTAACTAAACCCTGAAATGAAAAATATTAAGGAATAATGAAACATGGAAAATGTCTTAAAGGTATGAAAAGGTAACAAGATAGTGAGGCAAAAATCTAAATAAAGAACCTATTAAGGTATGCCCAAGATTCAGCTGCTTTTGCTACAAAAGCACAAACAATTTAAAGGTATACTGCAAAGAGTTACTCAAACTCAGTTATGAACCTGCAGCCCAGCTTCATGTTATGTACATAGTCCAGGAAACCTCAAATGTTAAATTTGGATTATACTGATCCACACTGGTAGCCTCTCCAGATGTTTAGAAGAAAAAAAATCTAAAGTTATTTCTAAAAAGGCAGTCATCACCCAGGCTTCACATCAACCACACATATACTTTCTCAAATATAATGACAAGGACATAATCAAAGGCAATCAGATACAAAAGCAAATAAGACACCATGAAAAGAAAACAGCAAACAATACATAACAAATACTCAAAGACCTCACGTTTTGGAATTACTTAACAGACTTTAATATCAGCATGCTTACTGTGTTACAAGACATATAAAGTAAGCTTGAAACGTTGCAGCAAATTAAAAGAACAAAAAGAAAGTCTAGAACAGAAAAAATTAAATTAAAAACTCAATGCATATGTTTAACAAGATTATATTCTTTGCAGCCAAAGATGGAGAAGCTCTATACAGTCAGTAAAAACAAGACCAGGAGCTGACTGTGGCTCAGATTATGAAAGAAAGTAGGGAAAACCACTAGACCATTCAGGTATGACCTAAATCAGATCCCTTATGATTATACAGTGGAAGTGAGAAACAGATTTAAGGGACTAGATCTGATAGACAGAGTGTCTGATGAGCTATGGATAGAGGTTTGTGACACTGTACAGGAGACAGGGATCAAGACCATCCCCATGGAAAAGAAATGCAAAAAAGAAAAATAGCTGTCTGAAGAGGCCTTACAAATAGCTGTGAAAAGAAGAGAAGCAAAAAGCAAAGGAGAAAAGGAAAGATATTCCCATTTGAATGCAGAGTTCCAAAGAATAGCCAGGAGAGATAAGAAAGCCTTCCTCAGCGATCAATGCAAAGAAATAGAGGCAAACAACAGAATGGGAAAGACTAGAGATCTCTTCAAGAAAATTAGATACCAAGGGGACATTTCTTGCAAAGATGGGTTCGATAAAGAACAGAGATGGTATGGACCTAACAGAAGCAGAAGATATTAAGAAGAGGTGGCAAGAATACACAGAAAAACTGTACAAAAAAGAACTTCACAACCCAGATAATCAGGGTGGTGTGATCACTCACCTAGAGCCAGACATCCTGGAAAGTGAAGTCAAGTGGGCCTTAGAAAGCATCACTACGAACAAAGCTAGTGGAGGTGATGGAATTCCAGTTGAGCTATTTCAAATCCTGAAAGATGACGCTGTGAAAGTGCTGCACTCAATATGCCAGCAAATTTGGAAAACTCAGCAATGGCCACAGGACTGGAAAAGGTTCGTTTTCATTTCAATCCCAGAGAAAGGCAATCCCAAAGAATGCTCAAATTACCGCACAATTGCACTCACCTCACACGCTAGTGAAGTAATGCTCAAAATTCTCCAAGCCAGGTTTCAGCAATACGTGAACCGTGAACTTCCAGATGTTCAAGCTGGTTTTAGAAAAGGCAGAGGAACCAGAGATCAAATTGCCAACATCCGCTGGATCATTGAAAAGCAAGAGAGTTCCAGAAAAACATTTATTTTTGCTTTATTGACTATGCCAAAGCCTTTGACTGTGTGAATCACAATAAACTGTGGAAAATTCTGAAAGAGATGGGAATACAAGACCATCTGACCTGCCTCTTGAGAAACCTATACACAGGTCAGGAAGCAAAAGTTAGAACTGGACATGGAACAACAGACTGGTTCCAAATAGGAAAAGGAGTACGTCAAGGCTGTATACTGTCACTCTGCTAATTTAACTTATATACAGAGTGCATCATGAGAAACATTGGGCTGGAAGAAGCACAAGCTGGAATCAAGACTGCTGGGAGAAATATCAATAACCTCAGATATGCAGATGACACCATCCTTATGGCAGAAAGTGAAGAAGAACTAAAAAGCCTCTTAAAAAGTGAAAGAGGAGAGCAAAAAAGTTGGCTTAAAGCTCAACATTCAGAAAACTAAGATCATGGCATCTGGTCCCATCACTTCATGGGAAATAGATGGGGAAACAGTGTCAGACTTTATTTTTCTGGGCTCCAAAATCACTGCAGAGGGTGACTGCAGCCATGAAATTAAAAGACGCTTACTCCTTTGAAGGAAAGTTATGATCAACCTAGACAGCATAATAAAAAGCAGAGACATTACTTTGCCAACAAAGGTCTGTCTTCTCAATGCTATGGTTTTGCCAGTGGTCATGTATGGATGTGAGAGTTGGACTATAAAGAAAGCTGAGTGCCGAAGAATTGATGCTTTTGAAGTGTGGTGTTGGAGAAGACTCTTGAGAGTCCCTTGGACTGCAAGGAGATCCAACCAATCCATCCTAAAGGAGATCATTCCTGGGTGTTCACTGGAAGGACTGTGCTGAATCTGAAACTCCAATACTTTGGCCATCTCATGCCAAGAGTTGACTCATTGGAAAAGACCCTGATCCTGGCAGGGATTGGGGGCAGGAGGAGAGGGGTACGACAGAGGATGAGATGGCTGGATGGCATCACCAACTTGATGCACATGAGCTTGGGTGAACTCCGGGAGTTGGTGATGGACAGGGAAGCCTGGCATGCTGAGACTCATGGGGTCGCAAAGAGTCGGACACGACTGAGCGACCGAACTGAACTGAACTGAACTGAAACACAGTTTGAGAGAGAATAACTGAACCAAAGGTAGGTCAAGAGAAGTTTCCAGAATGTAGCAGAGACAAATAGACAGGATATAAGAGAGAAAGTAAGAGACACAGAGGATCCAATAAGAAAGTCTAACAATTTAATCTAGTCCAGTAATAACAGTGAGGCAGAGACAATATTTTAGAAACCAATGACTGGGAATGTACTTGAATCAATGACAGACATCAATGAAGAAATTAAAGCAACCTATCAAATTTTAAGCAGTATAAAAAGAAATCCACATTTGCAATCAAATTAAAATATAGAGAATATTAAAAAATTCTTTAAAACAGAAATAACAGATTACTTTCGAAGGAACAACAGTTAGATTGTTTCTTAAGATTAACATTTTTGAACTGAGACAAGGAGCATGCTATTCTATCATCAGTATAGTTAGAAAAATAAAACAAATGCCAACCTAAAGTTGTATACTCAGTTAAAATGTCCTCTGACTCAAAGGCAAGTATCCATAGTTTTAGATTTGGCAAAAACAAGTTTACCAACTTATAGTAATGAGTTCACTAACTTATAGACTCTACTATATTAAAAAAAAACAAAAAACTTCTAGGAGAAGGTAAATGATGGAGGTATAATTAAGGTTCAAATGCAAAATAAAATAAAGATCATGGAAAATGGTATATAAGTGGACAGGGATGATACAAAACAAAAATAATGGGTCTTATAGTTTTTATTTTCAACTATACAGAAGTAAAATATTTAATCAGATTTTACATAGAGTAGTGTGTACATGACCATGTAAAATGGATAGCCTACAAAGACCTGTTGTATAGCACGTGGAACTCTGCTCAATGTTATGTGCTTGCCTGCATGGTAGGGAGCTTTGAGGGAGAACAGATACACGTATATGTATGGCTGAATCCTTGCACTATTCACCTGAAACTACCAGAACATTGTTAATCAGTTGGCTATATGCCAATACAAAATAAAAAGTTTGAAGTTTGAAGTTAAAAAAAAAAAAAAAACTTAGAGAAGGAAATGACAACCCACTCCAGTATTCTTGCCTGCTAAATCCCATGGCAGAGGAGCCTGGGGGGCTATACAGTTCAAGGGCTCACAAAGAGGCAAACAACTCTTTGTGACCAAACAACAAAAACAAAATACTTAATAGTATTAATTTACCTCACTTATGCTAATATGCAGGACATCCTAAAGGAATCTTTAAGGAAATCAACCCTGAATATCCATTGGAAGGACTGATGCTGAAGCTGAAGCTCCAATACTTTGGCCACCTGATGCAAAGAGTCAACTCACTGGAAAAGACACTGATGCTGGGAAAGACGAAACGGAAAAGGAGAAGAGGGAGGCAGAGAATGAGGTGGTTGGACAGCATTACTGATTCAACGGAAATGAACTTGGGCAAACAATGGGAGACAGTGAGAGACAGGGAGGCCTGGCATGATGCAGTCCATGGGGTTGCAAAGAGCTGGACATGACTTAACAACTGAACAATAACATGTTCATATTATACAAAAGTAAAGTGATTGATTAATAGTAGACTTTGATAAGTTTACATGTAATGCTATAGAAACCACAAAAATAACAGGAATACAGTAGAATACTTCTAGTGTAATAGAAAAAAAATTAGCCTAACTACTCAATGCAAATAAAGGCAAAAAGGAACAAAATGACAACTTAGAACTGCAGTACATAGAAAAAAATAATGAGGTAATTGAATTCACATAGCCTTAATATACCAGTTAAAAGGCAAAAAAAGTGTAGCCTAAAACCAAATTTTAGACAGAATCTGAATCACAGGATTTGGAACCAAAAGATCACATCACTCATACTGGGTTGGCCAAAAAATTCCTCCAGTTTTTAAGTAAAAATAAAAGACAGATTTTTCATTTTGCCAAGACCTTTACTGAATAATGTATTCACCATTTTCTTCTGCCATTTTCCAGGCAACTTCGTAATTCGACCTTGCCTAAACTTTTCATCTTTTTGAGCAAAGAACTGTTCCAGGTGGCTTCTACAGTCTTTCAGGGAATTCAAATTGTTTTCCATTAAGAAAATTTTGTATAGACTGAAATAAGTCAAAATC